CACAGTCTTTTCTTTAGGAGGAGGCATTCAATATCAGTGTTTCTCAGCAATTCAATAACAAACTTCAACACCGATATATTCTGATCTAATACATTTGAAATATTAACTTAAAAAGATCGGTTTTAAAACTATTTTGTTTTGTTCGATAAATTTGGTGTTGTTATTCGTGTTTTTGTTCATGCTATATTTTTTTGTATGTTGTTGTTGCTTTTTTGTTTGAGGGGGGGGGGATTATTTTCAACTGGTACCCGTGTTTTTGTTATCGGTGCTGTGTGACTGGATCTTGAATTCAGTTTTATGACTCAAGCTCAAGATTTTATATATTTATTATTTAGTTTTATTTCAGTAGGGTAGTTCCATTCAAGCCCACAAATAAATATAATGGCCTGCTTTCCACGGAAGCCCTACATCATACAGGTACATAAACATTACGTAATAGTATAAGATCTTCTAATTTGTATCGCGAGAATGACGTCAATGCGTTTAAGAGTTTATTGATGGTACCTAATTTTACATCACTTTACATTGAAGAGTAGATAGCATACATGGGACGAAAAGGCCTCAACCCGTTTCGGTCACAAATGCCATTACGAACGGCTACGAACGATTTTCAGACAATGGAAATTCGGGAAGACAATGGAAAAACAGGGAGATTCGTAGGAAATTATCGTTCGTACGAACCTTTGTGACCGTAGCATTACATGTGATAATTTTAAGCATTTTAACAGATACTGATTAATGGTTTCAACAAGTTGTCCAAATATTCTGTTCTCGTAACAACTCAAAATCAGTCATTAATGCTATGTTTAAAATCACTTGAGAAGAAGCCAATTTAATACATTTCTAATGATATATTTGAGAAATATGGAAATTTATTTCCAGTATTTTGGAGAAAAAAAACTGTTGTTATTAATTGTGCGTGTGTGTGTGGGGGGGACGCTTCCACTAGAACTGCGACTGCTCATTTTGGGCAGCTGGTACACCCCCCCCCCCCCTGCAGCAACAAAGAAACAAAATGAATGTTGCCCATACGGTCATATCGTAGGATGATACGACCGTGTAATATCTAGCAAAGAACGGAAGGGTTAGTCAAGACGTGTGGACATCCGGGATACCAGCATTATGATATCAATTACATACTATACCGTATTTCGTGCTCTGCACAAGCTTTATGTTTACGTTCTCTGGTTTCCATTTCGTTTTCAGTGCGAACAAAAAAGCTTTCAAAAGGTTTTTTCCCAGATTTAACCATTGATGAATAGCCATATACTTACAATGCTAAACTGCTTAATATTTTGTTTCTCATGAAGTAGTGTTTTTAACGATCGAGGTATGAAAATAGTTAAATCTCCCAGCAGTGTTCTGTATACAAATGACGTCTATTTTCATTTGGAGGCAACTGCATGCTGCGTCCCGCACATCGTTCCTCCCCACGCTGCACCAAAGGATCGAAATAAAGATGACCCATACGGTGACAGTGTAAGCGTAAACCATGTAAAACATAGAACATGATGGTAGGTAACGTTAACGTAGAGGTATCAATCCACAATCATAATGTGTTGGTTATCTCGGATACAAACATTTCTCGGTTTACTTCGAAGTTTCTATTTCATTTTTGTTCGATTTCATATATTATTTACCGGCTTCCAAAGCATTTCCCACAGATTCCTTCACATTCTACTCTGCAGTGTAACAATATTGTTGAGGTAGTCATAGCTGAGGTAGTCAACAATATGTTTCGTTCTTTTCTCTCTCGTCAAAGAATTAAAATCTAGCTCGTTGAGATTGAGACGACGATCTTCAAATTTCGAAGATTAACTGCACCACAAGCTTTCCATATTAATTACAGATGAAGATGATTCCTTATAATCTGTATGGAATCATCTTGACTTGTAATTAGCGATTGCGAGGTGACAAGATAACTGAATCTTTTAGCCGAAATCTAAACTGACTTAAAATGTCATTTATATTTCGATATTTTCTTATCACGTGTTTACTAAGTGGATATAAAATGAATATTTCCACCACCCCCGTCTCAATGATACCTTCCATGTAATATTTTAATGTCTTTTAGCAAAAGATTGAACGAGCTTTGATAAACATTTGATATATACATGTATAAATACGGACCTAGGCAAGTATAAACTATTTAATGATACCTTATCCCTTATTTAGGCTACTTTATTGTTGTTTTATGTTTTGGTGTGATTGTGAGTGAGCGTGTGCTTCATTACCAATGCTTCATTGACTTTAGGTTTTAATGGAATACTTGTAACACAGAATGTGTTAAATTATATTTATTACATATTCAATGCATGAGTCATTTAAATTGGTAATAGTATCATGTTATGGAACAGTTCTGTCACCCCCGATTGTTTTTTGTTTTCCTCTTCTCCAATGAGTATGTATTAGCGTAGAACATTGGGCGTCTACTCTCCCCTCCCCCACCAGCTCCAGCACCATATTACCCAGTGATAAAAGAGGAGGGGAGGAAAGAAAAAGAAAGAAAGATGGAGGAATGTCAAAGGAAAATGCAAAAATAAGAGGATGGGACACTGGGCTCCCTCCTGCACCCTTCCCCTAATCGATGGCCTATATCATTCACATTCCACCGACTAAGACCAGTCCCCCTCCCCACACACGCACACACACGCACTCGTTCTCATACTCCTTCCTCCCCCATGATACCAGTCCCTCTTTAACGCCCCTATATTTAACTTTCTGTTCATGTTGTCAAATTCCATCGCTTGTTATTTCCCACGCAATGAAAACAAGCGATGGATGCAGAATTGATTTTGTTGCTGTTTAAAGACCCATTAACCCCTCTCCCCCATAAATTTGACAATTTAATCGTTTTTTCTTTTATTCCAGAAAAATGGAAAGAAAGATGGATGTACAGTTGATCTTGAATGAGGAGCAGCAGGTTGCTGAGGAAGCCGTTGACATTACCCAGCCCCAGAGACCACCCTCTTACACTTCTACCGATGCTCCGGTCGTCTATCCTAACGGCCCAACCCAGTCACAGGGTGTGTACACAGCACAGACACAGCCAAGCTGCATCATTCAGGTGAGGCGATGCTGATGATGGTTATGGTGGTGATATAGATGATGATGGATATGGTGGTGGTGGTGATGATGATGGATATGGTGGTGATGGTGATGATGATGGATATGGTGGTGATGGTGATGATGATGGATATGGTGGTAATGGTGATGATGGTGGTGGTGGTGGTGATGGTGATGGTGGTGGTGGTGGTGGTGGTGGTGGTGGTTGTGGTGGTGGTGGTGGTGGTGGTGGTGGTGGTGATGATGCTGATGATTGATATGGTGGTGATGGTGATGATGATGGATATGTTGATGGTGGTGATGATGATGATTGATATGTTGGTGATGGTGATGATGATAATATATATGTTGGTGATGGTGATGGTGGTGGTGATGGTTGTGATTATGATGTTGGTGGTGTTGATGGTAATGGAGATGATGAATTTGTTGGTTATAGTCGAAACAGTGATAATGGTGATATTGATGGTTGTGATGGTGATGGTGGTAGTAGTGGTGGTGGTGGTGGTGGTGGTGGTGGTGGTGATGATAATGATAATCACGATGATTGTGAGGGTGCTGCTGCTGAGGAGGAGGAGGAGGATGTTCGCATAGAGATTTGTGGTTGTGGATGATAATGATGAATATAATGTATTAATGCGACAAGAAGAATGATAAAAGAAGTTTTAAAATGTTGAAGATTGTGATGACCTTCCGATCTTAGTTTTGAAGATGATTATAAAACAATAATAGCTCGTATAGGTCGAAGATTATGTCATTGGTGATTATTAGGTAAATCTTAAATCATCATCGTCACTTCCTTAGACCTCACTATTTCTTACAGAACATCCCTGTCCAACAAAACCAAGGATGTTGCGGAGGCCGTTCTGAGTGGTTTAAACACTCTGCTGGCATGAAAACGGGTATCATCCAGCTCATCCTAGCCATCGTTGCTAGCATCCTTTCTGGTGTGGCTATCTATCTGCAGCTCCGCTATGACCGCGATTTTGTTCCCAAGGGATCACCTATCGGTGCAACCATCTTCGTGAGTAGATCAAACGCGATCGCAAAGAATTTTAAGAAATCAACTCAAGCGCACTTTCAATACCTTACTGTATTAACTAGAAACTAGAGACACTATACACGGATTACGTAATATGTCATTGTCATGTTCGCACTCAGCGACTTTTCGGCTGGCTGAGTCGTTGCGATTTTTTTTGGGCTCCCCCCCCCCCAAAAAAAAAAGTGTCCGCTTACCCCCCCCCCCCCCCCTACTAAGCGACTTTTTGGCCGGCGCGATTTTCAAATTTTCCTGAGTCGTTGCGAAATTTTGGACCCGATTTTTAACCCCCCCCCCCCCCCCCTTGAAAAAATCCTGCGTACGCCACTGTTCGCACTTGTTATAAGGTGACCCAAAAGGTTGTTGAAACTACTATACGTTCATTCCTTTATTAAACGTCTTTACGATCATGTTAGATTCGGAAAATTAAATAAATAGTTATTCAGCATGTAGCGTTGTAATGGGGGGGGGGGGGCGGGGTGGATGCCCCCTCTTAACACATGGATCTGCGTTATAATTTCTGATAGTAAACACACAATTGCTTCTTTAAACTTTAACTCTCTAAAGCTTATCTTGTTCTGGTAGTCCATCATATAGGTAAGTTTAAATATAAATACCTGTTTTATACAAGGTGTTATTTTTCTCTGCGATTAGATTTGTTTTCCCTACCCAATCAACTCCCCGTCGTTGAGCAAATGATTGTGAGAACAGTAAAACCTTCAATTTGTGTTTACTATAGAGATGCAAGATATTATTGCAAAAAAAAAAAATCCGACCCTCTTCATCAAAGGCAGCATAAATATTGTCCAGTTGTCTCTCTGCCGACGAAATTCTTTGTTTCCATTAAAAAATAGTGCTTACCATGCATGCAAACCTTCTTTTAAAAAAAAATTACAATTCAATTTTTTCTTAAATGATATTTAATTACCAGTTTTTCCTGCCAGCTGGAATTCTCGGAGTATGTTCTAAGAAGAAGAATAACTGTGTGGTGAGTAGCATTGTTCTTTTTAAACTCAAATAAAATAATTTCGACGTCTAGAAATGAAAATGCGTTTGAGATATCTAATAGGTTGCTTGGAACGGTTGATGTGGGATATTCTATTATTATAATATTGAAATCGAGTACCCTTTATGATTATGGGTGTGTATTGGACAGGGTTGGAGAAATAACCCTTCATAGAAAGTTTGCTTAAAGGAGAAAAAACAGAGAAACTGATCAGCCGAAGATTGGGCAAAGAGAAAGCAAATTCATTTGTACTAAAATGGGAGAGGCATTACAAAAAAATAAGGATAATTTATGTGCCAAGAATATACCCTGTACTGATGGAAGATTTTTCCTTGTATGAGAGGAGGTCAAGCGCATCATAATGATACCACTCAGGAGACCAGAAATAGAAGAGATCCACAGTAAGTCATCTCAACATAATTTTTTTACTCCTAGTAGTCCTTGTGAATTGTACCCTACTTTTTCTTACGCCTTGTTTTAATGACATTTTAGGGCATATCCGGTCACTGTCTTAACTAACCACATCCCTACTTACTTATTATTGATTAAAGCTTATCTGCCATAGTTTACAGGAGGGATTAGACCGCTCTGCAAGGTCACTGGACAGGTGGTTATCTCATCAACTCAGCTCTCAGTTAACATAAGAAAAAGAGGATTATGGGGGACCAATGGTCACCGATTAGGCATTGTTTGGATATAGAGGGCGCAAGTAGCTACAAGTAGTGCAGTGGGCCTTTAAAATGTCATCCAACTTCTTTTAGAGTGTAATCATTATTTTGTTCGTACTATGTTCGTACCTCAGATCGTGGCCTACCTGGTCATGTCAATCTTGGCCGCCATCCTAGCAGCCTTCTTGTGTGTCATGGAGATATTTACAGCCGTTCAAAGCGTAGATGTCGTCTGCCAAAATTATTTCCCCGACTATCGTAATGACGGAGAAGCTGGAGCATTCTACCACACCTGTTACCCCGTACGCCTCAAGGTAAGTCATGTACATCATTTCATCATCTATCCTAACAGTATTTTGAATCTCTACTTAATATTTTGGCTACAAAACCTTAACACTCTAAGTCTTGGACTAAACATTTTAAACGAAATTGTTATTATATCTAGAGTAAAACTATTAACATAATGTAATATCATGTAAAGCGCATGAGGAATTATCATTATGCATTATATATAAGATATACGTGTATCCACTGTCAACTTCTTCTTCTTCTTCTTCTTCTTCTAGTAGTATTCGTAGTATTATTGATAGTAATGGTGGTAGGAGTAGTAGTAGTAGTAGTATTGTTATTATTTTGTATTATTGTTATTATTATAATAGTAGTAGTAGTAGTAGTAGTAGTAGTAGTTGTATAGTAGTAGTAGTAGTAGTAGTAGTAGTAGTAGTAAATGGTGTTGTAATAGTGATTTTGTAGCCGATGTTGACTCTTTAAATCTTTCATCATTATGTTCAGGGTCTCACTGCCATCCGCTCCTTGATTGCTATCCTGATGTTCGCCGAGTTCGTCGTCGCCATCGTAGCTTGTGTCGTCTGTTACGGTGGTCTTAACGGCTGTTGCGCTCGACCCCCTACTCAACAGACCAACGACAACCGCATGGTAATATCATCATTTATGAAAATCATTTAAATATCATGATCCAGGCAATACACCAGTTTACGGTTGTATCAGTGCGCATGCGCAGACAGTTGTCCTCGGGTCATTTGCCCTGAAACAAAGCCAATGGCCCGAGGTCAGTGGTATTTATGCGTAAATTAAGATTGCGCCCATGCAAATGATGATGTGCGCGCACAACGCAGCGCGTAGGCAGTGATATCATCATAATTTGCATGGGCGCAATCTTAATTTACGCGTAAATACATGACCTCTAGGTCATTGGCTTTGTTTAAAATGGCGCACACAACCGTAAACTGGTGTATTGTAGCGTTCATGGTCGTCAAGACTTTCAAGAAATCAACTAAATCCGCTGTCAATGCCTCACAGTATATCACACAGAAAGCCTATTAGCCAAGACGTCATTGTAGTGCGTATATTTCAGTAGTTAACGAACAAGGCTATTTTGATACATATTTTGAAAGTATCTGCGATAGTTATGATTGCGATAAAACTGGCTCGGAAAGAAATTAATTGCATATCCCCCGCTGCTGTAAGAACTAGAATGTTATATTACTACTGTTCAAGCATGGACCTATAAACTATAATAATAATAATAATTGTACCCAGGGAAGCCTCATCAGCTTCAATGCTGTTCTTTCTGAGGGCCCTGCAATTATTATTATTACTCCAGCGATTGCTAGTTACCCATGCATCACACCTGTATTGAGAGTGACAAACGTAGATGCCAGTGCCGGGCCAAAATTCGAACCCTCAACCCAAAGATTGAGAGTCAAGTGAATGAACCACTATACCACGACACCTCCAACTCCACTGAAACTAATTGGTTCATGGTTCAAATGTATAACATTCACCTTCTCATATTTATTGTCATCTATTTGTCAAGGCGTTCTACCCTCAGAGTGGCATTCAACCTATCCAAGCTCAGATGGGAGCCCACGTTGTACAGGGTAAGACTATTAACCCATTACTTACTTCCAATCATCGGGTCATCGCGTCCGGTCGGGTGGTCGCGTTACACGGCCTTTCGTGAAACGACAGCGGAAGATTACGCGACCTTTCGTTAATTTGCCGTCGGGTTTTCACAAAATTTTGGATAAATTGGACCAGATACGACGAATTGACCCAATGATTCGAAGTAAGCCTAAAATGATCCGTAATCTACTGATTCAGTTCTGAATCAAAGATCACGTTCAACAAAGGAAATCTTAGAACTCAGACTAACTTCCCTTTATTTTGAACAAAAAACTTAAGCCCAGCATCGAGTTTAGATATCAGTTAGAATACAGGCCTATTAATCTGCAATGATTAACACTATCACTTTACGGATTGTAACCCCATAAACCCGTGACTGCCACATTGTATGAAGCATTATGTTCCATGCACATCGTTCGTGTGGCAAACGTTGACTGTGGCAGGTTACTCTTTGTTTTATTAGCATACCAATGCGAGCAAATATGTATTTATATCACCATATGACCATGATTTTATTTCTTGTATATTCCATTAAAGTGTATACCTTTGTCTTGTTTCTTCTCCCTCCTCTTAGTCCCATCGGGTTGTACCACTTCTTCTTGTTCTTCTTTCTCTTCTATGTTGGTTCTCTGTGCCTTATTCTTCTTTTGCTTTTTAAATTTATTTTTTCCTTCATAGTGCATTTTCTTCTCATTTCCGACCTTGATTTTCGTTTCGTTCGTCTTCTTTTTCCTTCTTCTACTTCTCCTTTCTCACAATTTAATGTTTTTCTTTAGATTTTTCATGTCATTAATCTTTTTTTCTTTGCAAGGTTAGTCAAAATTAGAATATAATGGAAAATCGTACTTTCTTCTTTACAGGAAGCGAGCTGCCTGCCAAGGCCTAGAATGGACAAGAGCGGGCGCACTCTCATTTTGGAAACGTACTCGCATCAATCGACGACACATTCCCCCTGTAATCTTACATATTGCTCCCCTGTTGATGCTAACTTAATTCGTTATGTTTTAAAGTTTTAATATTGAGCTCTTTGTTCACAAATGTCAAACTTGAGAACAAAAAAAGATAGGAATAGAACTTGTTTTTTAAAAGAAACATCTTGAAGCTTCAAACATTAATTCTATATCATATTCAATTTAATATTGTAAGTACGGTAATGCAGTTTATCATTCAGTAAATTTCTCTAAAATACAAATGAATTGTTGCCTTTTTCCCATTATTGCATTATGTTCTTTGAAATGTGAGTTAAATTATTCACATTAACCTTTGTGGCCATTTAATAGTTGGGTCACATGTAAACATGTACATATATATAGTATATTTGAATTGTGCATTTTCATTTTGCAAATGTATTTGTTCTAGTTTGAGTGCAATTTAAGCAAATTTTACATATTTATAATTATATTCTAGGGCAGAAAAGTAGAAAACAGACCACTATGGTAATGGTAATGGTTGTACTACAAACTATATGTAGTAAAGAGAAATGCACAAAGATAAAAAGTTGCAACATATAATAGTAGCGACCCGGAAGATACAGAATTGAGAGTTGTATGATCCTTTTCTCATATCTTGCACCCATACAGGTGGAAATTTGCACCTTTTGAGATTCAATGCTGCACCCTGTTTTTATACCCGCTTCACTTTTGATTGCGTAATAACAAAGCAATGTGTTCCATTTTACTTTTTGCATTATCTTGTGTGGTATCATGTTCACATAGCGTGTCATGTGATGCGTCAGTCAAATGACGCAACAGACCTAAATCACTCTGCGCCTCCAGGGTGCAACTTTCCACAATTGTGAGGTGCATCTAAATTATGGAGCATATTGAGGGTGATGTTTTTGTACAGTTGATGCCCCTTCTATTTCTGGTATGGTTACTATACATTTATACACACGTTGTTGCTTAATACACTTTTTAAGTTGATAACATTGATAACATCGTGCGTCAATTGTATTTGTACTCACAGCATTATTTTGATGTTTGAATGTAAATAAACACCTCATTAGAGGCACACACAAAAAATGTTTGTACTAACGAAATAAGAACTTTACTGTAAAACATAGATTACATTCACATTACAAACATATTACTGGCGTTATATCTTTAAGTTGACGAAACTATAACTGTAGTAATAATTGTCAGTAAAAATTATATTTTATTTGTTGTCTGTCTACCAACACCGCATGAAAAAATGATCTCATAAACTCATTTTTTAATATTCATATCGTTCGAATTAGAACTAGAATATTGCCATGGTGATTGATGATTGATGATAACTATTTCTGGCAAACATCCAATTACATAGATCCTTTATAAATATAAAATCAGTAAGTGGGAGTAGAGACAGAAGATAGATGGCAAATAGAATGGAGATATAAAAATAACTCATTGATAGCATTCATGCAGGTCATAATGCATTGATGATATACTGAGCACACCCATATAAAGTGTGCTAGCGTCGAAAGGCTTTTATGTACTCCTTATTTCTTCTGTGTGACTTGCATTTTGCGAGTCAATATTTGTTCTGATTTTTTCTCTCTGTAAAGACTGTACCTCTCCCTGCAGTAGTCCCGTTGAACAAATATCTAATTATTGGTTCAGTGTGGGGGGGGGGGGGGTACATTTAGAACTATTACACAGTGTGGTATATAAAATGTATATATATTGTGTATACATTGTGTATATAGGATTGAAAAATTACATGTGCTGTCATTATACTTCCCCCTTCGACCGCCCTTCCTTCTCCCTTCGTTGTCCAAGCAATGTTTAATAAATGGCAGTGGTCGTATATGGCGATCAATGTCAATATAATGTTGAATGATTAGACAGTTGCCATACGGGGTAATTCCTGCTATGACGCACATATTGATATATACACAGTTCTCCCATTAATACTATTTTACGATAAGATAAGATAAGATATTTATTCGTCTTTCTTTCAAATGACACATATAGCATAACTTTAGATCATTACACATTTACAATGCAAAATAACAAATGTTGGCAATGATAAACACAAAGTTAACTAAAAAAAAGACGAGGAGACCCTGGTAAAAGCAGAGATCCTTTGTTCTATATTTTTTTATTTTTGAAGGAATGAGTCATGCAAGTCGTCGCCAGCCAAAGCTTTTGTCAAATTTGCAGTGATATTAAAATTGTTCAAAAGCTCAACAACTATTGACAATGCATCACGTCGATCACACACGCAGAGCAGAGAGATGTCACGTCATGACTATTTCTATCCTGGTCGTCAATGTGTGAGAGGTTGCGATGTCTCTGATTTTCTTGGTTTTGCAGACCCCTTTTCTGCTTTGCTCCACGTAAAACCGCTTCGTATTTATCTTTGTTACATTAAATGACAACTAAATATCAACAGATCTTTTACACATGTGATGGAGGTGCTTCATGAATACCTTTAGTCTCCCCCTGAGAAGAATACTTCCACCTGTGTCCTATTGAATGTATCATCGGTGCACAAATGAACAATGATTACATAACGTTCATGAGCACTCAATTATCCAGTATTCATCTCGGTGGATTTTTTTTTTTTTTTAACAATTACCTTTATTTGCCCCTATGCGCAGATTGTATCTGATCGATTTGGCTAAGACCGTAAAGAGCCTCTCCTCCAAGTATAGTCATCATAAGATTTGACCCTTTGAACGTCACTTTAAGATCATCTAAAGAGATCATCAAACTACTGCCGTTACCTTTGCCCCCCCCCCCCCCCCGACAAAGCCCTAGATACACACTAGGGTTAAATTTGCCTCCAGAAATGAAAATATATAAACGTAAGCATAAATTTCAATACTAGACAGGTCTACTGCTCAACCTATTTACATGATTAAGTATCGACTCCTTTTACCATATTTACCAGTTTGACCAGTCATAACAGAGACGCCTTCATTTCATTTATTTCAATGTATTTTCAAAAAGCACGAGTCTCTAAAAAGATAATTTAGGGGCATGTTTGAAAAGTGAGAGGGGCATTTACTGCCTCCCCCATTTCGTCACCCATTGATGTACGCCCTAATGATAATAGGCATTTCTATAGCACCGTTTATCTAGAAATTCTATTCCCAGGCTCATTTAGCCTATAGCTGCAATTACAGCGCTCCAGCATTTGGAGGAATGAATTCCTGCCAGGTCCCCATTTAAATGGGTTGAGTGTGGCAAATGTAGATCAATGTCTTGCCAAAGGACATTAGTGACGCGGCGGGACACGAACCGCGGACCTTGTGATCGAAAGTCCGGCGACGTATCCACTCGACCACGACACCTCTACATCACCCATTAATGTACGCCGTACATAGTATCGAACTCACTGTCTGTAAAAAGAGACTAACAATGCGCATGCGTGTTTAGCATTGTTACCGTGAAGGCGAGGTTGGTTGCTGTTGTGATCCTGGGCAGTGTACGCCATTCTTCGTTCAGTGGATAATCATTTCGGAGAGATAGTAATATTTTTCGTGAGCGTCGTAAATACTTCATATTTCCAAGCTACTCATTTTCAGGTGAGTAATTTTCACCGTTTTTGTCTTTAACTTAATATCATTTAATAATAGCATTACCGTTGGTAAATTCAGAGAGGTTCTTCAATGAGTGATTATTAAACTGTAATATATAGCAGCAGAAGATCTATTTTTGCTAGCTTGTTGTAAATCGTGTAGGCCTACATAATACTATGAATTTTTGTTGTATTGATCGATTTTTATGTGCATCTATGCCTAAGTGTTGAGTGAAATATATACGTTTCTGAGTTGCTGTTGCTTAATATCTTTGTGCTTTGAGAATTTTTCAGGATTTTGTGCATTTTAGAGGGTTAGTACAGTAGAAGGAAGATAATAAGTAACATTTCATACCAAAATTATGCAATTTTTTAATCAACCTTCAACAATGTTACCGAGTCACTTTAAATGTTGGAGGTAAACCTTGTTTTTAAATGTGATGTAAACAAACCGTTTGAAATTAAAATAAAAGACGTTTTAATGGTTTTCTAAGAAGGCGACACTGGTCAATACCCTCTAACAGTGATTAACAGTAAATTATCCCAACCATTTTTGAATTTTCCCAACCGTTTTTCCATAAATAATAACTTATTATTATTTTTTGTCTTAAAGACAAAAAACAGGTTTTTAAAAATCTGTCAACACTTAAATGTCTGGAATGGTGTAGAGAGCCAATTTATTGCTTCGTGACGATTAATATTCACCTAAAATGTAATTAAATTCTAATAATATAGTTGGTATCAATCGCATCAGTTTTTCCCAATTTTGATCGTTAATAATGAACCGTTTTCGCTCGAACTTTCAGATATCTTTATTTGTACATCTAGCATTGAAGTCAGTACCTTAGCACCATGTTCTCTCATCTATACAATGTTAACACGTTCCTTTAGGTGAACCAGTAACATCATTGAAAGTTGATACAAAAATGCGTAATTTGGGTGTGTAATGTTACTTATTATTTTCCTTCTTTTGTACTTACCCTCTAACATCCAAAGAACCCTTGAGCAAATTCTCAAACCACAAAGATATTTCTGGTTGTCTTTAAATTGCGTCAATGTGCAACCCCCTCCTAACAGTAAATTCTCCCAAATTATTTCGAATTTTCCCAACTGTTTTTTCATGAAAATGAGACATGAAACAGGCTTTCAACACTTAATGTGAATAGTATATAGAGCCAATGCATTGGTTCGTAACGATTTACATTCACCTAAAATGTGATTAAATTATAACAATACAGTTGAGGGAATTTAGGAATCGATCAGATCATTTTCCCCATTTTATCATTAATAATGGTCTGTTTTCACTCAATTTTTCAGTTGTTTATCTTTAATTGTACATCTAGCACGGCATAGAAGCCACTACCTGAATAATAATAATAATAATAATAATAATGTCAACTTATAAAGCGCACATATTACCCATTCAAAAAGACTGCTCAAGGCCCTCTGCAAAATATCAAAATAATTGTATAATATTAAAACTACAACATAAACAAATTGTGCTTATGTTTTTTCTTAAACATTTCAATTGATGGTGATTGTCTCATTTATTATGATAAAATGTTCCATAATTCGGGTGCAATGTTAGCAAAAGCACTGCCCCCCCCCCCCCCAAAAAAAAAAAAAAAAAAAAAATTGTATTGGTTTTGGGTGCCCGTCGGGCCTCCTCCCTTAGATCGGCGCCTGATTTATCTTACATTACTTATATTGGAGAGTAGATATCATATATGAAAAGAAATAGGTCTCAACTGAATCGAAACACTTATACGTAGAATACTATTCCTTTGATAAGCATGTTAACAGATACTGATTAATGGTTTCAACAAGTTGCCAAATATTCAGTTTTCTTAACAACTAAAAATCAACCCAGTGTTTTTATGTAGCTGCATGGTGTCATAAATGCCTTGTTTAAAATCACTTGAGATAAAGCCAATTTAATACATCTCTAAAGATATAATTTAAAAATATGGGAACTTATTTTTCAGTATCTTGGATGGGGGCTTTAAAAATTTTGTTTTTGATTGTGTGTTTGTGGTGGGGCTTCCACTAGCTCTGCGACCGCTCATTTGGAGCAGCAGGTACGACTCCTCTCCCTCCCCGAAAAGCTTTCAAAACTCTTGTTTCACACATTTAACCATTGATGTATACAGATCAATATACTTATAATGCTAAACTGCTTAATATTTTGATTCTCATGAAGTAGTGTTTTTAACGATTGAGGGATGTAAATCGTGAGATCTTCCAGCAGTGATCTAAATAAAAATGACTTATATTTTCATTTGGAGGCAACTACATGCTGCCTCCCGCTTTTCTTTCCCTCCCCATGCTGCACCAAAGGATCGAAATAAAGATGATCCATACGGTGACAGTGTCAAACTAAAACCGTGTCAATGTATTAAACTTAGGAGTATTAATCCACAATGATAATAATAATAATAATAATAATACATATGATTTATAAGGCGCCAAATCCACTTGATAGTCAAATGCTCAAGGCGCAGCTTGTGCAAAAGATGAAATACATACATGATACATTTATACAAAGTGCGATAGGAAAGGTACAGAAATGAAAGGTTATGGTAATCAATTATAAGCTAAATTAAACAGATATTTCTTAAGATTGTTTTTTTAACACTTCAGCAGAACTGCTATTCTTAATCCATTGAGGGGGAGTATTCCATAATGAAGGTCCAGCATGAGCGAAGGTTCGCTCCCCCCCCCCCCCCCCCCACTTTGTTTAACCCTAGGAGTAACAAGTAAGCCAGAGATTTGAGAACGTAGCTGTCTAGAAGGAAAGTAATGCTTAATCAAGCCGATGTTATACTGCGGAGCAGAGCCATGTATACAGTGAAATAATAGCAAAATAATCTTGAAAACAACACGTTTTTCTACGGGCAACCAATGGAGTGATTTGAGGACTGTGTGATGTGACTGTACTTGTTGGACAGGGTCACGACACGAGCAGCAGCATTCTGTAATCTTTGTAATTTAGCGAGTACTGGTTATCTCGGATACAATCATTTCACGGTTTAGATCGAAGTTTTTATTTCATTTTTGTTCTATTTCATATATTATTTTACCAACTTCCAAAAATTTTCCGCAGTTTCTTTCAAGTCTATTCTGTGTAACAATAATGAGGTAGTCATAGCTGAGATAGTCAAAATTGTTAAGCTGTTTATGTTTCAATATTTCCCTCTCGTCAAAGAATTTAACTTTTGCATGTTGAGATTGAGACGGCGCTCTTCAAATTTCGAAGATTATCTGCGCCACAAGTTTACGATATTAATTACAAATTAAGAAGAATCCTTATTCTGTATGGAATCATCTTGATTCAGATTCAGTTGTTGACTTGTAATTAGCGATTGCGAAGTGACAAGATAACTGAATGTTTCAGCCGTAATCTAATCATGTGTTTACTAACTGGATATCAAATGAATATTTCCCCCTCCCCCGTCTTTAACAATGATACCTTCCATGTAATATTAAATGACATTTAGCAAAAATTAAACAAGCTTTGATAAATATTTGATATAAATAAATACGGACCTAGGCAAGTATTAGCTTTTTGAATGAAACTTTAACATTCATGAATTTTATTATTGTTTATATTGTGGTGTGATCATGCGTGAGCGTGTGCTTGATTACCAACGCGTCATTGACTTTAGATTTTAATGGAATACTAGTAACAAAGAATGTGCTAAATCGCATAAACTAGATATATATTGCACGACAGGCGCGTACGCAGGATTTTTTCAAGGGGGGGGTTTTAACATTTATAAATCGGTCCGAAAATTTCGCAACGACTCAGCCAGCCGCTGAATAAGCGGGGGGGGGGGTGGGGGGGGGGGGGGGGGGGGGGGGGGGGGGGGGGGGGGGGGGGTAAGAGGACACATTTTTTTTTTTTTTTGGTCCAAAAAAAATCGCAACGACTCAGACCGACCGCTGAATAAGCGGGGGGGGGGGGGGGGGGGGGGGGGGTAAGAGGACACTTTTTTTTTTTTTTTGGTCTCGAAATTTGGAAATTTGACATTTTGCTCCTTGGGGGGGGGGGTAGGGTCACCTTTTTTAGGTCGGCCATGGGAATATTTTTTTTTTTTTTTTTTTTTTTTAATAATTAAAAAAAAAAAAAAAAAAAAAAAAAAAAAATCCAAAAGGGGGGGTTTTTTAGATTTTTTAGGGGGGTTTACACACAAAAAATTTCCAAAGGGGGGGTTTAACCCCCAAAACCCCCCCCCCCTGCGTACGCGCCTGTTGCACGAGTCATTCAAATTGGTTATACGTGTCATTTTATGGAAGCATTTTGTCACCCCCCCCCCATTGTTTTTTGTTTCCTTTTCTCCAAGGAACATGAACATTGGCGTCTCTCCCCCCCTCCTCCACCGTTTAAGACCAGTGCCCCCCTCCCACACACACACACACACACACACACACCCGCACACACACGCGCACACACACACACACACACGCACACACACACACTACCCTTATCCCCATACTCCTCCTCCGTGATACCAGGTCCTCATAAACGGCCCAATATTATTATTCCGTAGATGTATATGGATACATAATTAATTATTTGCCGTTGTAAGTCCCATTATCCCCCCCCCCCCCACCCCCATGAATTTATCAGTTTCATCGCTTTTTCCCTGTTATTCTAGAAAATGGAAAACAAGATGGATGAACAGTTGATCCCGAATGAAGAACAGCATGTTGCTGAGGAAGCCATCGAAATTAGTCAGCCCCAGCAGCAGATACCACCATCTTACACTTCTACCAAACAGCCAATCCAGCCACAGGGTGTGTATGCAGCACAGCCACAGCAAAACTACATCATCCAGGTGAGGCGATGCTGACGATGGTTGTGACTGTGATGGTGATGGTGATGATGGTGATGGTGATAGCTGTGGTGATGATGATGTGGTGATGGTTGCGATGTGATGGTGATGGGTGGTGTTGGTGGTAATGATGGAGATGTTGGTGATAGTGGTGGTGGTGATGATGGTGAGTGATGATGGTGGATGATGATGATGATGATGACGATGATTGTTAGGGTGCATCTGCTGAGGAGGAAGAGGAGGAGGAGGAGGAGGAGGAGGAGAAAGAGAAGGAGGAGGAGGTGGAGGATGAGGAGGAAGAGGTTTTCATTGAGATGGTGTGGTTATCGCCAATGATGTTGAAAATAATTTATTACTGCAACGAGAAGAATGATAAAAAAAGTGTTAAAATGTTGAAGATCTTGATGGCCTCCCGATCTTTTTAAAAAGATACTTATAAAACAATGATAGATAGTGAAATCCTAAATCATCATCGTCACCTCCTTTGACCTCACTATTTCTTACAGAACATCCCTGTCCAACAAAACCAAGGATGTTGCGGAGGCCGTTCTGAGTGGTTTAAACACTCTGCTGGCATGAAAACGGGTATCATCCAGCTCATCCTAGCCATCGTTGCTAGCATCCTTTCCGGTGTGGCTATCTATCTGCAGCTCCGCTATGACCGCGATTTTGTTCCCATGGGATCGCCCATCGGTGCAACCATCTTCGTGAGTAGATCAAACACGATCGCAAAGACTTTTAAGAAACCAACTTAAGAGCGCTTCAATACCTAACTGTTTAACCTATAGAGAACATACACGGATTACGTAATATGTCATATTCATGGTCGCACTTGTTATAAGGTGACGCTAAAGGCTATTGAAATTAATATACGTTGATTCCTTTATCGAGCGTCTTTACATTCGTGTAAGATTAGAAAAATAAAATTAATAGTTACTCAGCATGAATCGTTGTAATTGGGTGGGGGAGGAGGTGGGGGTTGATGCCAATCTCTATTAGAAAATATGCTAATAATAATTAAACACACCTATTCACACATAGATCTGAATTAGAATTTCTGATAGTTATCACACAATTGTTTCTTATAATTTGAACTCTCTATACCTTAAAAATTTTGTGTTGGTCGGTCATCATAATTATAATTTTGTTTAAAAGTAGGTATGTTTAAAAATAGATACGTTTTTAAACAAAGTGTTATTTTCCCCTTTTATCAGATTTGTTTTTGACACCCACCCAATCAGCTCCCTTGGTTGAGCGAAAAAGTTGTGTGAACAGTAAACCTTCACATTTTTAAATTATAAAATTGCGAGATACGTTCAATATTATTGCAATTAAAAATCAATCCGACCCTCTTGATCAAAGGCAGCAGAAGTATTATCCGGCGAGATTCAGCGATATTATTCACTTAACGTAAATCGAGTTTGTGCTGTTGTCTCTCTGCCGACGAAATTCTTTGTTTCCATTAAAAATAGTGCTTACCATGCATGGAAAACCCTTTATAAAATTACAATTAATTTAACTTTTTCTTAAATGATATTTTATTACCAGTTTTTCCTGCCTGCTGGGATTCTTGGAGTATGTTCTAAGAAGAAGAGTAGCTGTGTGGTGAGTAGCATTGTCCTTTTAAACTCAAACTAAGGATAATTTCGACGTCTAGAAATGAAAATGTATTTGAGATATCTAATAGCATGGAGATATAAGAAGAGAGGTTGCTTGGAACGGTTGAAATCTCATTGAAGCTCATTGAAATTGAGTAACCTGTATATAATATCATGATTATGGGAGTGTACGGGCCAGCGAAATGTTAATTTAGAGAAATAACTCTTCATAGAAAGTTTGCTGAAAGGAATAAAAACCCAGAGAAGCCAATCAGCCGAAGATTAAAATAAAATTGGGCAAAGAGAAAGCAAATTCATTTCTACCAAAATAGGACAGGCACTCCAAAAATATAATAATGATAATTTATGTTCCAAGTAAATACCCTGTACCAAAGGAATATGTGTCCTTATATGATATGGACTGAATCACCAATGGGAGAGATCCATAATAAAAGTCATCTCAAAATTACAAATGTCCTAAATCTATTACTCCTTGTGAATTTTACCCTACCTTTGCGTAAGCCTTATAATCATGACATTTTAGGGAATATCCGGATATTATATCTCAATAACCTCATACATATTTGCCCATTATTTATTAAAACGTCATCCAACTTGTTTTAGAGTGTATCATTTGGTTTGTTCGTACTGTGTTCGTACTATGTTCGTACTATGTTCGTACCTCAGATCGTGGCCTACCTGGTCATGTCAATCTTGGCCGCCATCCTAGCAGCCTTCGTGTGTGCCACAGAGGTCATTGGAGCTTTTCGTAGCGAAGGTTACGTGTGCTGGAACTACCCAGAAGGTGAAGTGTATGCCTACTCATGTCCCTATAAGCGCTTCATGGTTAGTCACGTATATCACATCATTCTTTATCCTAACATTAATTTCTACTAAACCTTTTGGCTACAATGCATTACTGCTCCGAGTCTTGGAGTAAAATAATGTTTTAAATAAAATTGTAATTGTTTTCTAGAGTAAAACTACTGTATCAACATAATGCAATATCATGTAAAGCGCATATGGACTTATATGTATGTATATGTATAACCACTGTCATCAGAACTATCATTACTATTTATATGTTCTTCTTTTTATTTGCTCCGTCTTCTTATTATTCTAGTAATAGTAGTAGTAGTAACAGTAGTATTCATAGTATTATTAGTAGTAATGGTGGTGGTAGTAGTAGTAGTAGAGATGAAGTAGTAGTAGTAGTAGTAGTAGTATTGTTATCATTGTTATTATTATAGTAGTAGTAGTATAGAAGTAGTAGTGTAATAGCGTTTTTGTAGCTGATGTTGATTCTTTAAATCTTTCATTATTATTTTCAGGATGTCACGGCCCTCCACTCCGTGGTCGCTATCCTGATGTTCGCCGAGTTCGTCGTCGCCATCGTAGCTAGCGCCATCTGTTGCGGAGGTCTTAGCGGCTGCTGCGCTCGACCCCCTACTCAACAGACCCATAACAACCCCATGGTAATATCATCATTCCAAATATGAAATATCATTATCTAAGCGATTCTTGCGTTCGCAATCGCAAAGACTTTCAAGAAATCAACTAAATCCAATTTCATTGCCCACAGTATATCACATAGAAACCATATTCTGATTAGCTAATACGTCATTGTAACGCGTTCATTTCAGTAGTTAATGAACAAGGCTATTTCAATACAAGGTTGATCTTTTGAAAGTATCTGCGATCATGTTCATTTATGATTACGATAAAACTGGCTCAGAAAGAGACGAACTGCTGATCCACCACTGCTGTAAGAACTGGAATTTTATATTACAATTGTTTAAGCATGGACCTATAAACTTAATTAATAACAATAAAAAATAACAAAAACAACAACAGTAATAATAATAATATAATAATAATAGTATTGTTTACTCAGCTTCAATGCTCTTCTTCCTGAGGACCGTGCAATTATTATTATCCAAGCAATTGACAGGTACCAATTTACACCTGGGTGGAGAGAGGCATAAGTGGATTAACTTCTTGTCAAAGAACTTCAGTGCCGGGCTGAGATTAGAAACCCTCAACCCTTCGATTAAGAGTCAAGTGAATGGACCACCATACCGCGACACCACTACCTCCATTGAAACTAAAAGGTTAATTGTTCAAGTGTAATAATAATAACGTTTTATTTACCCAGGGTAGCCACTTCAGTTATGAAACTGCTCTTCCAGTGGGCCCTGCATAACATAATATGTTATTACTACCCTTCTCCAATCTAATATGCTGAGCGCCTAGCTAGAAGGCAGAAGGTCCCATTGTTATAAGTCTTTGGTATGACTCAGCCGGGGATCGAACCCACGACCTACGGTTCATGAGACGGGCGCTCTATTACCACTGAGCCACCATGCCCGGTCATAAAATAAATTTACCTTCTCATATTTATTTTCATCTATTTGTCCAGGTGTTCTACCCTCATAGTGGCATGCAACCTATCCAAGCTCAGATGGGACCCATGTTGTACAGGGTAAGACTATTACCCATTACTTACTCCAATCATCAGGTCATCGCGTCCGGTCGGGTGGTCGCGTTAACGGCCTTTTGTGAAACGAAAGCAGAATATCAACGTGACCTTTCGTAGATTTGCCGTAGGGTTTTTTCACAACGGTGTTAGGTATCAATTAGACCAGACCATTTGTAGGTAAGAGGGGTTTATTTCACAGGCATTACCTCCCCCCCCCCCCCCCCGACATTTCATGAATAAAAGAGGAATGATTTCACTAAAGGTCGGGTAACGCGACCACCTGACACGACGCGATCACCCGATGATTCGAAGTAAGCCTAAAATGATCCGTAATCTACTGATTCTGAATTTGATATCACATTTAACAGAGGAAAACGTTTCAAGAGGAAAACTTAGAACTCAGACTAACTTCCCTTTATTTTTAACAAAAACTGAAGCCCAGCATTGGGTTTAGATATTACTTAGAATACAGGCATATAAATCTTAAGTATTACACCAGCACACTCTACGGATTGTAACCCCATAAACCCTGAGACTGCCACATTGTATGAAGCATTATTTTCCATACACATTGAGCGTGTGGCAAATGATGACTGTGGGCCGGTTACTCTTTGTTTCATTAGCATACCAAAGCGAGCAAAGAATATCTTTTCGTTAAATTAGAATTTGTATAATCATATCACCATGATTTAATTCCTCGTGTATTCCATGTAAGTGTAAACCTTTATTTTGTTTCTCCTCCCCTTAGTCCCATCGGGTTGTTCTTCTTCTTCTTGTTCTTTTTCCTCCTCTATGTTTATTCTCTGCCTTTTCCTTCTTTTGTTTAAAAAGAAATTCCCTTATAGTGCACTTTCTACTCATTATCCCACTCTGATTTAGTTCGTTCGTTCTTCTTCTTTCTTCTTCTACTTCTCCTTTCTCTACGATGTAATATTTTTCTTTGAATTGTTCTTTGTCAAAATTAGAATATAAGGGAAATCGTACTTTCTTCTTTACAGGAGGCGAGCTGCCTGTCAAGGCCTAGAAAGGACGGAAGCGGGCGCACTCTCATTTTGGAAACGTACTCGCATCAATCGACGACGCATTCCCCCTGTTATCTTACATATTTCTCCCCTGTTGATGCTAAACAACCAACATTGGAAGTATCATCAGTACTGCAATACACCTGAAATGTTAGAATCGGTGTGTTTGTTTGAATCTACGAGTATTCGCCTTGGATTTAACAATGTATCCCTTAAAATATATTTCAGTCACATAATATATTGCAGTCATATTGCATCAATCACATTGGACTACGTCCCTTATTCGACTAATTTAGTTAAACCCGAACCTGGGTATAAAATCACGTTTAACAAATAACAACTTAGACTTCCTTTTCTAAAACCCGATTTGAACAAGAGCCTATTAATACCTCGCGACTGGTTTGAATTTTACCAAAATACAAGCTGTTTGTCCAATATATTTATAAGCGTACTCACCTTTGAGTTAACAGATGTATTCCATAAAAAACGTATATTTCAATCGTCATGTTCACATAACTTACGATTGCATAGTTCACACAAATATGCTTATATTTACTAAGTAAATAAATCGACTGCTCGGAGTACCGTTCAAATGAGAGGGATGTCGAGTTCATAAAAGACGCATATTGTATACTCTTGCTGCTTTCACTTTCTGTCTTTCTTGAAAAGTAAACAAAATAGAGGCTGAGAGCAATAGATTTCTAGTGCAAAAAAAAAATTAAGCTGCATTTTTCACATGAAAGGTTGGAATAGAAAATTGCAGTTATATCAGGGTTATATGGGTTAGGAAGCGTAATTAAATTAAAGCATTTATATACACATAAATATACATGTATCCTAATCAAACTACATTTTTAAGTGAATTTGATAACTTAATTTGTTTTATATGTTTTAATTAAAGTTGAGGTATTTTGTTCACAAAGTAGAAAGAAAAATATCAAAATCAATTTTTAATAAGCCGGGAATAGAAGTTTTCTTTTAAAGAAACGTCTTGAACTTTAAACATTCATTTTATACGTATGAAAATTAATATTGTACGTAATGTAGGTTATCATACTGCCAATTTATAAGAAATAGAATTGAATTGTTGCCTTTTTACTATTATTGCATTATATTTTTGGAAAATTTCGTAATGTGTGTTAAATTAATGTATATTGTTGTCATTTAATAGTTGGGTCACTTGTAAGAGTAAATATATTATTTTGAATTGTGCATTTGTTTGTGTGATGCTTTGGAATTGTAAATGTAATAGTTTAAGTGAAATTTACGCAAATGTTACATATTTATGAATAATTCACGGCAGAAAAGTAGAAAAAGACAACACAACTAAAAGATATGAAGTAAAGAAAGAAAGAGTAATGCAGAAAGATATGAAGTTGCATCAAATAATAGTAGCGACCCGAGGAAACAAATTTGAGAGTTGTAGGATTCTATTCTCACGTCTTGAACCCTTCAAGGTTTTGAGATTTAATGCTGCACTCTGTTTATACCCGCTACACACAGGGTGTCATCTTGATTGCGTTATAACCTGCGTTAATCAACCCTGGAGAACCGGCTTTAGAGCGTGCGTCAGTTCCACAAAGCAATGCATGCGCTATTCTTTTTGCATTATCTCATATAATATCACTTTCACATCAATCAATCAGTCTCAGTCAATGGCGTAGTCCTACGTTAGTCAAATGACGCAACGAACCTAAATCACTCTTCACGTCCAAGGTGCAAATTTTCACAATTGTGGGGTGCATGCAAATTATGAACCCCATTCAGGGGTTACGTTTTTTGTATAGGGTTCGCACCTTTAATTTCTGGTTTATGGTCAGTATTGGACATGTTTACAGCTGTATTTATCAATGGCGGATCCAGGGGATGAGGGGCGGGCTCTCCTTACAAAAAATGTGCCCCTCCGATTGTGTTTCTATACTCCCTTTTAAATTGTAGAACCCCCCAAAGCACCAGCAAAAATTGTAATCTTCTATTGGGTTTATTGTGTTGCTTGTTTTTGTTTGCTTGTTTAAATCGACAGAGAAGTTTTGGATTTGTCCCCTCCCCTCCCCTATTTAAATAACGCCTAGATCCGCCATTGATTGATTAAAATAGTTTTTAATTCTTTGCTGATACTTTGTGAATTTGTAACTCATTTATCCGAATTAGATCTTCACGCTATAAACAATGCAGCTTGCTTAGTACCTTCTACAGTCTGCGATTTCTTTATCTTGTGTCATTGGTTTCCAAATAATAATTCCGATCTGAAACTTATTCTTATGCTTACTGTTGATTCAAATACCTACGCGAAGAGATCTAGACCGAAATTGTGCGGCCTTATGATTTTTGTCCCCCTATTTATTTATCTATCTACTTAATTTTCTACTACTAAAAATATGAACCTTTTACCCTATGATTTGTTCCGATGGGGGTATTAAAGTGAAAGGTGTAGGCCTCTGAAAAAAGGCAGCCAAATCTGGTATAAACTCACACATGAAAACATAATTTCGAGTCATATGTTTCCTTGTGAGATTATTGACGGTTTATTATATTTATCTTCATCTTCTAAATACCTTCTAGCAATTCCTTCATTATTGTTTGATAAACGTGTAAACTGTAACATAGGTAAGTTTCATATTAAATATCTATATAGATATAACGCGAATATATACAAAATAAAGGCACGATAACAAGATGTATGGCATTATAATGTTACGCTATCTATTAAAGGTCAAAGCTTGTACAGTATGATAAAGCAGTATCATTAGATTGGAACCACACACATATTTTGCAGCCTCTTAATTGGGTAGTGCTAAGTGAATGGCGGAGTCAGGGGGCTCAAAAAGCCTTACTGACCCCATGCCAAACCAAATTTGAATTATTTTAGGGGATTTGGTCGGGCCTTATATGCATCTAAATTGTATGTCAAATTTCTTTCTCCGTAAGCGTTGGTTTAGATTGTATTTCAGTCCCTGACCAAATGAGACTAGGATACCTACATCATCATATTAAAATGATATTAGGGATACCTTCTCGTACCCACACACACACACGCGCGCGCGCGCGCGCACGCACACATACACACTCCTGTCGAAGAATCTTGGGTCCACCAATGGCAAGCTAAGCTGGCATTATACGTAACTTTTCTAATCGTCAAGCCCAGTACCACACTAGCTCATCAGTGAGATGGCTGAAGATCGATTGCCTGGGTAGGGCGGTCCGAGAAGAATCTGGTTAGAGAGAAAGAGAGAAAGAGAGAGAGAGAGAGAGAGAGATATGAGAGACATAACATGAGTGACCGTCATAGACAAAGACAAGACAGTGAGAGATTGGGGAAGGTGAGTGAGGAAAGAAGGGGTGTGGGCGAATAGTAAGTCAGAGAGATAGAGATAGAAACTTGATTTACACAAACAGTGAAAAGTTAAGAGGCCATGCACTGGCTGAAGTAGCTAGTCTGGCCATCACACTGCATTCAAGGAGTATTTGACCGTGTTCGATCTTCAGTGCTCGGGCCCGGCCCTTTCCGCATAACCTGCACAATACTGTTTCAAAATTGGGAAGAAAAAAACATTGTTTTAAAACATAAATATAGAGCAGAGGTCTTGGACTTTCCAAGGTATACAAATGTATTGTTACGTTATCGCCATTAAGCGATAGGAAAAAACGAGCTCGGTAATATTTAAAGGGGCATGTTCCCCGTATTCCAGAGGGCGTTCAAAATACGTACCCGCTGGCGGACGGTGCTAACTGCCTATTGACACCAACAGAATACGGCTCTTACGCAGATGGCATGTTCCGAATGCCCGCACAATGCCGATTATCGCATACATGTGCCGAAGTAATACCAATCGCAGTTCGGCTCTAAGATTCGGCTGCTGTTTCCGCCCACTTTCGTGACGTCACAATCGGCAGCGATCAGCTGGCTTGGCGAAGGCAGGCCAGGACGCGCGTACTTTGATTGACAGCTGTATGCAAATAAGAAGTCGATCTTTGGAACCAAGATGGCGATGACTAGAGCAGCGATAACTACACTGGCGGGAACGTGCCCCTTTAATTGGTCGTATGAACTTACGCGAATTTTTGACCGGCTTCCCTCGAGCATATAAAAATCACATTTATAAAGAAACCTATTGTGATTCGCTGCTCCAAATGAAGCCTCGTAGAACTGAACCTGGATAGTTGGTTACTATGGTAAGAGATAGATGGCAAGCGATAGAGAGACCGAGAGAAGAAAAAAAGACGGAGACGGAGAAAGAAAGAAAGAAAATATTATAAACTTCTAATATTCGGGCAACTATCGCTTCATATCCAGACAGCAAGGACTTTTCATTATATCACGTAACGATCGCCCAGTAACGCATCTTCTGTTGATTTAAAAACTGATAGATTCCTTCAGTACGTAGATTCATATTATTCTGAGCAGTGTCCCCACCCCCCCCCCCCTCCCGCCCCCACTATTTCAAGCATATCCAGAGAACCTAGTTTTCGTTGGACAACCGCCCCTTTTGATTCAGATAAATTCCCCTTTTCACATCTGATAAGCATTTCTATTCAAGTGCCCTCTTTACTTTGACGAGAGCTCCTTTTATTTTGTAATAAATGCTCCTTACCAAATTTATTAGTGCCCCTTTTCACCTCTGATGAGTGCCCCTTGTCACATCTGAAAAGAGCCTCTTTTATTTCCATACGCGCCCATTTTCCTTCCTAATAGTGTCATTTTACCTTCTGAAATTGCCTTTTTCCTTTTGTAATATATGCCCCTTCCCCTTTCGTATAAATGCTCCTTTTTCTCCTCTCTGTTATGTGTCCCTTTTACTCTGACACGTGTCCCTTTTTCTTCTTTTTTTCTGATAAAGAATGTTCAAGAATCTTTGGTTTAATCATTGAAATCAGTGTATGAAATGGTATTCATTTAACAAATCACAATATAAAAAACCATACAAAATTTAAAAAATATATAACATCAATTGAAACGTGAACCTATTTATCGACAGCCCTACACCATTCCCTTTGATACCCCCATCGTGAAAAAAACAAACCAAAGGGTAAACAATTTTCTAAGTAGTATAGATATTAACTATATTGATAGATAAATGGATGGATAGGCCTGCAAATTTCGGTGTAGATCACTTCGCGTAGGTATTTGAACTTGAGAATAAGTTTCAGAATTGGAAATTATATTTTTTTGATTTTGGATACCAATGACACAAAATAAAAAATTCAGGCAGACTGGTAAAAGATACTAGGCAATCTGCAGTGTTTATTGCATCTAATACGGATAAATGAGTTACAAATTCACTAGGTATCAGCAAAGAACTAAAAACAATTATAAGTGGGTCTAAGACTAATTGGAAAAGGGGAGAGGGGAGGGGAAAATTCCAAACATCTCTCTGTCGAACAAACAAACAAAAACAAAACGACTAAAAAGGGGGGAAATAGTTTTTTTTTAATTATTTTGGTGACGTGAGGGGGGGGGTGGTCTAAGATTTAAAAGAAATAATAGAAACACAATAATGTGAGGTCCTTTTTCTTGAGGGGGACCTGAGGGGGACTTGTGACAGCCTGTAAATAGCATCTTGTGCATTTTTAAGGGTGCAAGATGTGAGAATAGAATCCTACAACTCTCAAATTTGTTTCCTCCGGGTTGCTTCTATTATTTGATGCAACTTCATATCTTTCTATATTTTTCTTTATTTCTTTACTACATATTCACTTTAGTTGAGTTGCCTGTTTTCTAATTTTCTGCCCGTGAATTAATTCATAAATATGTAACATTTTGCGTGACTTTCACTAAAATTATGACAATTACATTTCCAACACATCACACACGCAAATGCACATTCAAATATACTATAAGTACCTCTTAACATGAAATCCAACTAGTACATGACAGAAAAAAAAAAAACAACATACATTTTACACATTATGTAATTTTCCAAAAATATAATGCAGTAATAGAAAAAGGCATAAATTCATTTATTATCCTTAGAATTGACAGTATGATGAACTGCATTTACGTACAATATTTAATTACATAAATATAGAATGAATGTTTAAAGTTTCAAGATATTTGTTGCTACTTGCTAAACATAATAGCTCAATTTAAAATTAAACACGAAAAACAAATTAATTTATCAAATACATTTGAAAATATAGTTTGATAAGGAGGTTCATGTAAACAAAAATATATATATAAATGCTTTAATTTAATTAGTGTAATTACGCTTCATTACCCATAATAACTCCTGATATAAATATTATACAAATAATGAATGGTTATGAGTTCAATAGTGCGAATATGTTCATGAGTTGAAAGATTAACATTCTATTCAACGAGGCGTCAGCCGAGTTGAATAGAATTAACGTTAATCTTTCAACGAATGAAAATATTTGCACTATTAAACGAATGAAAAACATTCATTATTTGTTTTATACAACATCGAAGAAGACCTAATAGAACGTTAATCAGCAAATTATGCTTTACTCCTTATAAAGATAAATTAAAGTTCGAGTCAAGCCTTCTCGATTACATGCAGATTGCCTTCGCGTCAGATACACGCAGGGATACGCGCACATGCAGCAGAGAGGTACGCAGTCTGCATATAACCAAAAATGCACGGCGCATATAACCAAAAATGCACGACCGTGCAATATACCATCTATTGAATATCATGTGACCAACAATCGTCCAATCAAATGACAAGGATCCACGTAGGTGTTGTATAAAATATGCTATTCTAACCTCTAATGCGAAAAATATCAGCTTAGAAATCATCTTTGCACGTGTTACACATTGTGCTCAGCCTCTATTTTTGTTTGCTTTTCAAGAAAGACAGAAAGTAAAAGCATCAAGATTTTAATATTTACAATATGTGTTTTTATGACCTCGACAGCACTCTCATTTAAACGTACTTGGATGGGTCGATTTACTTATTAAAATGAAGGCATATTTGTGTGAACTATGCAATCTTAAGTTGTGTGATCATGACGATTGAAATATACTTTTTCATGAATACATCTGTTAACTCCAAGGTGAGTACGCTTAAATATGCAAGGGGACACACGTCCTGTATTCTGGTAAAAATTTAAACGAGTCGCGAGGGATTAATAGGCTCTTGTTCAAATCGGGTTTATGTAAGTTGTCCTTTTATTAAACGTGATTTTAGACCCAGGTTCGGTTTTAACTAAATTAGTAGGATAGGGGAAGTAGGTCTAATGTGATTGATGCAATATGACTGCAATATATTATGTGACTGAAATATATTTTGAGGGATACATGTGGTTAAATCCAATTAAGGCGAATACTCGATGCTAACATTTCAGGTGTATGGTAGTTCTGATGATACTTCCAATGTTGGTTGTTAGCATCAACAGGGGAGAAATATGTAAGATAACAGGGGGAATATGTCATCGATTAATGCGAGTACGTTTCCAAAATGAGAGTGCGCCCGCTCTTGTCCATTCTAGGCCTTGGCAGGAAGCTCGCTTCCTGTTAAAGAGAAAGTACGATGGTGTATTGAATTATTCTTATTTTTACTAACCTTGAAATCAAAAGAGAAAGCATTACATTGTAGAGAAAGAGAAGTAGAAGGAAAAAAATGAAGAAGGGGAAAAAAGAAGAAGGGGAAAAAAGAAGAAGGGAAAAAAGAAGAAAGAAGAATAAGAACGAAACAAAATTCGCGGTGGATAATGAGAAGAAAATGCACTATGAAGGAAAAAATAAATTAAAAAGCAAAAGAAGAATAAGGCACAGATAACCACATAGAGAAGAAAGAAGACCAAGAAGAAGTGGTACAACCCGATGGGACTAAGAGGAGAGAGGAGAAACAAGACAAAGGTATACACCTAATGGAATACACGAGGAATAAAATCATCGTCATATGGTGATATAAATACATATTTGAAGGAAAGAGACCGTTTGCTCGCATTGGTATGCTAATGAAACAAAGAGTAACCTGGCACAGTCAACGTTTGCCACACGCACAATGTGTATGGAACACAATGCCTCATACAATGTGGCAGTCACGAGTTTATGGGGTTACAATCCGTAAAGCGATAGTGTTAATCATTGTAGATTAATAGGCCTGTATTCAACCTAATATCTAAACTCGATGCTGGGCTTAAGTTTTTTGTTAAAAATAAGGGAAGTTAGTCCGAGCTCTAAGATTTCCTTTGTTGAACGTGATCTTTGATTCAGAACTGAATCAGTAGATTACGGATCATTTTAGGCTTACTTCGAATCACTGGGTCAATTCGTCGTATCTGGTCCAATTTATCCGAAACTTTGTGAAAACCCTACGGCAAATTAACGAAAGGTCGCGTGATCTTTCGCTTTCGTTTCACGAAACGCCGTGTAACGCGACGACCCGACCGGACGCGATGACCCGATGATTCGAAGTAAGCAGGCGCGTACACAGGGGGGGGGGGGGTGTTTGGGGGGTTAAACCCCCCCCCCTTTGGTATTTTTTGTGTGTAACCCCCCTAAATTTCTCTAAAACACCCCCCTTTTGGATTTTTTTTTTTTTTCCCATGGTTGACCTAAAAAGCTGACCTTACCCCACCCCCCCCCCCCCAACGGAGCAAAATTTTCAAATTTCGAGACCAAAAAAAAAAAAAAAATGTGTCAAACAAAACCACCCCCCCCCCCCCCCCCGTCCCCACCCCCCCCCCCCCCCCACCCCCCCCCCCCCCCCGCTTATTCAGCGGCTGGCTGAGTCGTTGCGAAATTTTCGGCCCGATTTATAATGTTAAAACCTTAAAACCCCCCCCTTGAAAAAATCCTGCGTACGCGCCTGGAAGTAAGTAATGGGTTAATAGTCTTACCCTGTACAACATGGGCTCCCATCTGAGCTTGGATAGGTTGCATGCCACTCTGAGGGTAGAACACCTGGAGAAATAGATGAAAATAATATCAGAAGGTAAATGTTACTCACTTGAACCACGAACCAATTAGTTTTAGTGGAGGTGCAGTGGCGGATCTAGCTCTTTGCCAAGGTGGGGGGGGGGGGGGGTCGATGACCCAGTGGCGGATCAGGATTTTCCAAAAATCTCACCGTTTTACTGTTTTTTCACTTGCCCCCCCCCCCCCTAGATCCGCCCCTAAGGTGTCGTGGTAATGTATAGTGTCCATTCACTTGATTCCCAATCAAAGGATTAAGGGTTCGAATCTCAGCCCGGCACTAACGTCCTTTGGCACGACGTTAATCCACGTTTGCCACTCCCCGTACGTCCAGTTGTAAATGGGAACCTGGCAATCACTGAGGTAATAATAATTTCAGGATCCTCAGGAAGAACAGCATTGAAGCTGGGTAAAAAATATTGTTTTTATATTATTATTATTATTATTATTATTAGTATCATTTTTATTATTATTGGTGTCACTATTATATAGGTGCATGCTTGAACTATAGTAATATAACATTCCAGTTCTTACAGCAGTGGTGGATATGCAAAACGTCTCTTTCCGAGCCAGTTTTATCGTAATCATTAATGAACATGATCGCAGATGCTTTCAAAAGATCGATCTTGATTTGAAATAGCCTTGTTCGTAAACTACTGAAATGAACGCGTTACAATGACGTATTCGCTAATCGGATTATGGTTTCTATGTGATATACTGTGGGGCATCGATATTGGATTTAATTGATTTCTTGAAATTCTTTGCGATCGTGATCGCAAGAATTGCTGAGATCATGATATTTTCATAATTTGGAATGATGATATTACCATGGGGTTGTAATGGGTCTGTTGAGTAGAGGGTCGAGCGCAACAGCAGCTAAGACCTCCGCAACAGATGGCACAAGCTACGATGGCGATGACGAACTCGGCAAACATCAGGGTAGCGATCACAGAGTGGATGGCAGTGAGACCCTGAAAATAATGATGATATATTTAAAGAATCAACAACAGCGACAACAACAATCTTACAACGCTATTACTGCTACTACCACTACTACTAGTAATACTACTACTACTACTACCACTACTACTACTACTACTACTACTACTACTACTACTACTACTACTACTATGATAATATTAATAACAATAATTCAAATAACAATATAAATACTACTTCTACTACTACATTGAACATCCATTACTAATAATTACACTATAAATACTATTGTTGCTACTTTTACTACTACTACTACTACTACTACTACTACTACTACTACTACTACTACTGATGCTACTACTACTTACTACTACTACTACTACTACTACTACTACTACTAGAAGAAGCAGAAGATGAAAACAGATAAAAAGATGAAAATATAAAGTAATAGTAATTATGATAAGTTCCTAAGCGCTTTACATGATAAAACATTATGTTTATAGTTTTACTCTTAAAAAATAATTACGATTTGTATATAAAATGTTAAGTCAAAGACTCAGATCGGTGATGCATTGTAGCCAAATATTTTGACAGAATGAAAATTCTTTTAGGTAATTCTCAGGCGTCCGCTGGTGGCATTTTCACTGTCTTGTAACTCTTTCACGTTATATGCTCTGTGTTGTCATATAAATAAAATAAAACAAATACTGCTAGGAGAAAGGATATGATATGATATAACTGACTTACCTTGTAACGCACATCGTTACATGAGTCAGGATAAATTCCATCTTCTCCGTAATTACGTAAGTCAGTACGGTAGTCGGGGAAATAATCTGGGCAGACGTAAGGTACGCTAAGAACAGCTAGACTGATCTCCAATGCACATACGAGGGCTGCGTGGATGGCGGCCAAAATTGACATGACCAGGTAGGCCACGATCTGAGGTACGAACATAGTACGAACAAACCAAATGATACACTCTAAAACAAGTTGAATGACATTTGAATCAATAATAGGCAAATATGGATGAGGTTAATTGAGATACATTAACCGGATATTCCCTTCCATGTAAAGGCGTACGCTAAAGTAAGGTAAAACTTCACAAGGAGCCTAAGAAATTTAGGAAATTTGTAATGTTGAGATGACTTGTTGTGGATTTCTCCCATTGGCGATTCAGTCTCCATATCATACGAGGAGAAATATTCCATTGGTACATGATTTATTCTTGCACATAAATTATCATTCTTATTTTTGTAATGCCTTTCCCATTTTGGTACAAATGAATATGCTTCCTCTTCGCCCACTTCTATTTCATTCTTCGGCTGATCAGTTTCTCTAGGATGTTTCCTCTAGGCAAACTTTCTATGAAGGGTCATTCTCCAAATTAACATTAACTTGACGTCGAAATTATCTTTAATTTGTGTTAAAGAAGAACAATGCTACTCACCACACAGCTATTCTTCTTCTTAGAACATGCTCCAAGAATGCCAGCAGGCAGGAAAAACTGGTAATTAAATATCATTTAATGAAAAAAATGAATTATAATTTTATAAAAAGGGGTTTTTCATCGTCGGCAGAGAGACAAAAGCCAAACTCGATCTATTTCAAGTGATAATATAATCACGCCGGACAATGCTTCTGCTGCCTTAATCAAGAAGGTCGGATTGATTTTCAATTGCAATAATATCAAACATATCTCTCAATTCTATAGTAAAAAAAAATATTGAGGGTTTTACTATTCGAACAATCATTCGCTCAGACAATGGGAGTTGATTGGGTAGGCAAAACAAATCTGATCGAAGGGAAAAATAACATTTTGTATCAAAAGGTTTTTATATTTAATCATACTTATATGATTACCGACCAAAACAAAACAACGTGTAGAGCGTTCAACTTATCAAGAAGCAATTGTGTGTTTACTATCTGATAATTGTAATTCAGATCCATGTGTGAATACTTGGGTTTAATTATGATTATCATATTTTTTAATGGGGATTGACGTCCACTCCCCCCCCCCCCCCCCCCCCATCACAATGCTGCATGCTGAGTAACTATTATTTTTATTTTTCTAATCTAATTCGATCTTACAAGTCGTTCAATAAAGGAATCAATGATTAACAATTTCAATAGCTTTTTGCGTCACCTTAGAACAAGTGCGAACATGACAATGACATATTACGTAATCCGTGTATGTTCTCTACAGGAAAGACAGTAAGGTATTGAAAGTGCGCTTGAGTTGATTTCTTAAAAGTCTTTGTGATCATGTTTGATCTACTCACTAAGATGGTTGCACCGATAGGTGATCCCGTGGCACTAAAATAGAGTTCATAGCTGAACTCCAGATAGATAGCCACACCAGAAAGGATGCTAGCAACGATGGCTAGGATGAGCTGGATGATACCGGTTGTCATGCCAACTGAGTGTTTAAACCACTCAGAACGGCCTCCGCAACATCCTTGGTTTTGTTGGACAGGGATGTTCTGTAAGAAATAGTGAGGTCAAAGGAGGGGACGATGACGATTTAAGATTTTACTAATAATCACCAATGAAATAATCTTAGACCTATACGAACCAATCTATCATTGTTTCATAATAATCTTCAAAACCATGGTCGGGAGGTCATCAGATTTTCTTTTACTTTTTAACACTTCTTTTATCATTCTTCTCGTTACAATAATACATTATTTTCATCATCATCATCATCATCCACGACAACCACAACATCTCTATGCGAACATCCTCCTCCTCCTCCTCCTCCTCCTCCTCCTCAACAGCTGCACCCTCATGACAATCATTGCCATCATCGTCATCATCATCATCCACCATCACCACCATCACAACCACCACAACTACCACCATAACCATCTTCATTACAACCATCAGTATCACCTTCACAACGGTCATCATCACCATTATCACCGCTTCGACTATCACCAACTTCTCCATTATCACCATCATCACCACCACTGGCGTATAACTGCCCACCCCCCCCCCCCCCAATAAAATTCGACGTGGTTTATTTCTAATTCGAGACAAGTGAACTACAAATGTTGCTGAAATGTCATGATTTTCCGGAGGTTTTTTTTTGTAAATTATACTTCTTTTTTTTCTGCCCCCAAAAGGTTTTGCTCATTACACCATTTGTCACAATCACAATTATCACGATCATATCAATCACCATCACCACCATATCCATCATTATCACCAACACCACCATCATCAGCATCGCCTCACCTGGATGATGTAGCTTTGCTGTGTCTGTGCTGTGTACACACCCTGTGACTGGGTTGGGCCGTTAGGACGGACGACCGGAGCATCGGTAGAAGTGTAAGAGGGTGGTCTCTGGGGCTGGGTAATTTCAACGGCTTCCTCAGCAACCTGCTGCTCCTCATTCGGGATCAACTGTACATCCATCTTATTTTCCACTTTCTGAAAAGAAAAAAAAAGGGATTAAATTTTTTAATTTATGGAGGGGGTTAATGGGTCTTTAAACAGCAAAAAGTCAATTCTGCATCCATGTTGTTTCTATTCTTGGGGATTAAAAGACGATGGAATATTTCCAACATGAAAATAAAGAGGAATGTTGGACCGTTAATGAGGGACTGGTATCATGGGGGAGGAGTATGGGATGAGTGTATGTGGGGGAGCACTGATCTTCAACGGTGGAATGCGAATGATATAGGCCATCGATTAGGGAAGGGTGCAGGAGGGAGCCCGGTGTCCCATCTTCTTATTTGTTATTGTCCTTTGACATTCCTGCATCTTGCTTTCTTTTTCTTTCCCCCTTTTTATCGCTTGGTAATATGGTGCTGGAGCTGGTGGGGGAGGGGGGAGTAGGTGCCCCATGTTTTACGCTAATGCCTACTCCTTGGAGAAGAGGAAAACAAAAACCAGTCGGGGGTGACAGAACTGTTCCATAAAATGACACGTATAACCAATTTAAATGACTCATGCATTAAGTATCTAGTTTATGCAATTTAGCACATTCTTTGTTACTAGTATTCCATTAAAACCTAAAGTTATTGACGCGTTGGTAATTAAGCACACGCTCACGCACAATCTAAAATATAAAACAATGATAAAATTAATAAGTGATAAAGTATCATTAAAATATGTTATACTTGACTAGGTCCGTATTTATATAATATTAAACGTAAGCTAGCGCTAAAAATTCAGGGCATATTTAATTCCATGAAGAGTTATTTCTGAAGATTTTCTTTTTTAAACATCGCATTGTTGATAGAAAAGGTGAATTAAAATCTATCAAAGAATTTCAGAAAAAGGGTTCAAACAACATTGAAATAAATATAATAAAACAGTTATATGAAGGATAGGCAAGATTGTATGTGTTTTTGTCTGTCTGAGTTTTTCTTGTGTGTGTGCGTGTGCGTGTGTGTGTGTGTGTATGTGTACACAAAAAAGAGTTTTAAAAAAAGTGTACAGGAGGTTGTTTTTTGAAATATTGTTCATTCAGTACACATGTTATATTGTCATAAATGAGTAATAACTTTCAAATGTATATAATTTTGTTATGTTTATGTGGTAACTAGTAACTAAATTGCTTTGTTTTGCATTTGTTATAGTTTGATAACGTTATGTAAAAATGGAAAGGTGCGATTTGTTGTCATATATTTCATTTATGTTGGTGTATTGTAGCTTCAGTATCTTATAATACGTTGTTAAATTATATATTATCATTCTGTTACTTGTTGTGCATTGAATGAACAATAAAATATCTTTCCAAAAAAAACATACAGTCAGTCTGATACTTATGTTTGATTTTAACACATGTAATTTATTACAATGCCTTTTGTTAAAAACATTATATATTATTATATATATTGAATACTATGACTTGTCAACTTGTCTACTGCCAAATGTCTACCATCCAAATGATGAATGATTCAACTATAGAACCAGACTTGGCGTAAATAGCCGAACGCCAAAGATATAACCAACAACAAGACCGCGCTTTGCGTGTCAACTGCTGTACTATACTTTAATAATACTATAATAAAATTGAATTGAATAGAATAGAGTAGAATAGAATGGAAAAAAGTACATTAGATTGATGTACACAGGGGCGTACGCAGGGGGGGGGGGGTTTGGGGGTTCAAACCCCCCCCCTTTGGTATTTTTATGTATGTAAACCCCCCTAAAAAAAACCTAAAACCCCCCCCCCATGTCAAATTTTGAAATTTCGAGACCAAAAAAAAAAAAAAAATGGGTCCACTTACACCCCCCCCTCCCCCCCCCTCCCCCCCTCTCCCCCCCCCCCCCCCCCCCACTGAGCGACTTTTCGGCTGGCTGAGTCGTTGCGATTTTTTTTGACCTCCAAAAAAAAAAAAAAAGTGTCCGCTTACCCCCCCCCCCCCCCCCCCCCCCCACCCCCCCACCGAGCGACTTTTCGGCCGGCGCAATTTTCAAATTTTCGGGAGCAAAATGTTTTTAAACCCCCCCCCCTTGGAAAAATCCTGCGTACGCCCCTGGATGTACATCATTTCCCTCTTCCGTGCTCTACATAGCCTGGTCACGAGGTAGACAGCTAGCTGGCTCAGTGAACTCGAACTAGGAACAGCTCACCTCGTCTATTGTGCTTTTTAGCCGACTCTTGCTGACAATACTGTAATGGCTGTCAGTACTCAAGCGTAGGTGCCTATACTATGAATGGGCCACTACATGTACTCTTATTATGTACCCTTCATGATCGAATTGTTAACCTACACCATCGAATGTTCAGCATAGGGCTAACCCGATGTTTGCAAGAAGTTGATAACCCTACTAAATCTGGAACCAGGCCAAATGTTGAGGGAAATGTGATTGCAAAGCAATGTTTATGTTTTCAATTCCATAATAATAGGGACAAAATAATGAATATAGATAAAAACATCTTGGTCTAGCCTTTGAATTGGTGGACATCATTAAGCTCTCTCCCTCCCCCTCCCCCCCCCCCCTCTCCCTCTCTCTCTCTCTCTCTTCCTCTCATTTGTGACCTCTACCCATCTTAATTAGTTTAATCCCCCCTCTCCCTTTCCCTTGCCATTCCTTCTCTACATGTCTACAATTTCTCTTTCTCCCCCACCCCTTCCCCATCCCTTCTATCACCCTCATTCCCTAATTCTGCTCATGGTAGATTCATTATCTGACTAATATGCTGGTATACGGTAGTATCCCTGTTATACGACGCTGAATGTGAAGGCACATGATGAATCATTAGCCTGTCGACATTTTGTTAATGATAATGTTAGCATCGTATACCAATAATGCTGGAGAGGAAATATTCTGTTCATAATGCTCTACGTGTAAGAGAGAAGGCTATGTTTAGATTTATCAACCACTCATCTCATTCGAGAGTTTACATTGCTGATTAATTGCGTGGATCAATACCGATATTTTCCATCTATGACAAAAACAGTGGATATTACAAGAATGGCAACTAAATATTAAACAACCTTATACATGTATAACTGGCAACTGAGACAATAAAAAATGGCAATTGAGCCTTTAATATTGGAGGTAACATGCTTTCATAATATCATGCAAACAAACGCAGTTGGAAGTCAAATATGATTACTGTGACTTAAAAACCCACAGTGATTTAGATATGCGTATCTTTCACTCAACACTTTGGTATGTATGCATTGAAAAACCAATCAATACAACAAAAATACATATATCTACACCCGGAATTATTTGCAACAATCTGGCAAAACTAGATCCTCCGCTGCTAAACGAATCACTCATTGAACAACCTCTCTAAATTTATCAGAGATGAAAACATTACTAAATCAATTTAAATAAAATAAAAGAACGGTGAAAATTACTCACATCACAATGAGAAGCTTGGAAATATGAAGTGAACGGTATTACGATGCTCTCGAAAAATGCAAAATTACTATCTCTCCGAAATGTTATACACCGAATGAAGAATGGCGCACACTGCCCAGGATCACAACAACGATCAACCTCGCCTGCACGGTAAAAAAATGCTAAACACGCATGCGCATTGTTAGTCTCTTTTCACAGACAGTGAGTAAGGAACTATGTAGGGCGTACATTGATGGGTGATGTAGAGGTGTCGTGGTCGAGTGGATACATCGCCGGACTTTCGATCACAAGGTCTGCGGTTCGTGTGCTCATAAGTGAGGTCGATGCTATGTAGGGCATAGATCAAGGGGTGATGACATTTGGGAGGCAGTGAATGCACCTATCACTTTTCAAACATGCCCCTGAAGCATCTTTTCGGAGACAAGTATTTCTTGAAATACATTGAAATAAACGAAATAAAATGAGAAGGCGTCTTTATTATGTCTTGTCAAACAGGTGGATATGGTCAATACGTGTCGATCCTTAATCATGTAAATATGTTGAGCATTTATTGATCCCTTTATTTGCCTGACTTCACTTATTGTCTGTGCAACCTTTACCTTTACCTGCATATATTATGAAGGAAAGTGTTGAAATCTTAACTCCAGCCCTCACAAAGATGTTCAACCAAACACTAAGAGATGGAACTCTACCAGCTGACTGGCATACAGCTAATATCTGCCCGGTATACAAGAAAGGTGATCGATCACTTCCTATAACTACCTGTGTCCTGCAAAATACTTGAACACATAATATTCCATCACATCATGGACCATATTGAAGATCACCACCTCCTAAAGCACTACTAACATCGATTATTGAAAGCCATTCTTGCGAAACCCAACTTGTAAATACAATGTAAATAAATCATGCGTTGTCTTGACAAAGCTCCTGGTAGTCAGATTGACATGCAGATTATGGATTTCAGTAAGGCCTTCGACACTGTGTCTCACCCCAAACTCTTGCGTAAAATAAATCATTACGGTAGACAAGATATGACCCTTCAATGGATCAAGACCTGGCTTACTACACGTAGTCAGCAAGTACTAGATGGCAAAATATCCCAACCAATCCCTGTTTCCTCTAGGGTACCGCAGGGGACCGTACTCGGCCTCTCATGTTTCTCCTATACATTTCTCCTACGACATTGAAGATCGAGTAAGTCTGGAAACAAAGATCAAATTGTTCGCTGACGATTGCATCCTCTTTCGTCACATCCGTGGGAACGAAGACCAAGCCATATACCTCAAGAAGATATTGATGTTCTGAAGGAATGGTCTTCTTCATGGCAAACGAGTTTCGATCCATATAAATGCCAAACCATGCAAGTAACAAGGAGTAGACAACAAATGCCTTCACATATAGTATGCACGGTGTACAACTATCATCTCTAAAACAGACCACCAATATGGGAGTCCACTTATCCAGTGACATGTCCTGGAACAACCACATCAACCATCATGTCGTAAGATCATGGGATTCATCCTTAGAAACCTGACAAGATGAATGTCTTCAAGGTACTGGTACGTCCTAAACTTGAATATGCAGCAACTGTGTGGGCCCCACACCAATCTTACCTTGTAGATAAATTAGAAATGGTACAAAGAAGGGCGGCACGATTAGTGTGCAATGGCTTTGGTCGTGTCTCTGAGTTACTCAAATCCCTGGAATGGTCTTCTCTCCAACAACGAAGGAAAGACAGCAGATTAACGCTATTCTGCAAGACACTCCCCAGGAGGCCGCTGTAGATATCCCCGATTAAATGTTCAAGAAGCACCAAGATCTGGGAGAGAGAATGCCAATCGTCAATATAACACTACAATGCCGAACAAAAGCATACCTGATCAGCTTCATACCAAATACAGTAAGAGACTGGAACAATCTCCCATCAAGGCGTCTAAATACTGAACTCCACCAAAACTGTCAAACTAAGCCTCCAAAAGAGCCATGCATCAATTTAAAATGCACATTGTAAGGAAACGACACCATCTCTGGACGCAAAGTGCTTCTAAGCAATATGTCTGGATACCATTCTGAGATTCTGAGAACCTTGCTTCCTCGTAGCTAAAATAAATCACATTCACAACACACCAGTACACAGTAATTCTACATTTTAATCAATTCATTTATGCCCCGACAATAAATAGAACACAGTTGGATGTATTCTTCTCAGGGGGGGGGGGGGTAAATGTATTCATGAAGCACATCCATCACTATGGCTGTGATTCTAAAATGCACAAAGTGGGACGTCTCGATGCATGTGTATCAGATCTGTTATTATTTGGGGGCCATTCGGTGTACCAAGATAAGTACGAAGTGGTCTTAATACATGAAGCAAAGCAGAAAAGGGGTCTGCAAAACATAGAATACCAGATATGTCGCAACCTGGATAGAAATAATCATGACGTCGTACGGACTCTCCTACCAAAATTGAGAGTGTTGTTCTGTGCGCGTGATCGCCTTGATGCATTGTCAATAGTTGTTGGGCTGTGGGAATCACCGCAAAAATCATGTCTAAATTTTGTTATTGTCACGTGCATCATTTCAATAATAACACATAGACTTGAACATTCATTAGTGTATGAGTGTATATTTGTTCATTTGTCAGTGTTCCAAACTTAAAGTGACTCGGTAACATTGTTGAAGGGTGATATAAAAATTACTTAATTTTTGTATAAAATGTTACTTATTAATTCCTTCTATTGTACTAATCCTCTGACATGCAAAAAAATCCAGACAAAATTCTCAAACCATAAAGATATCCATAATTTTATTTGAAGGCGTCACCGTGCAACACCCTCTAACAGTGATTAACAGTAAATTCTCTCAACCATTTTTGAATTTTCCCAACAATCTAGCATTGAAGTCACTACCTTAGCACCACTATCTCTCATCTGAACAATGTTACCAAGTCCTTTTAAGATACCTTTACCGTTAAATGTACTATACAAATCAGTAATATTACTCAATTTAATAAAATCAAGAATTGTTCTTTCTTTCCCTTCAAGTATCATTCACGTAAAAAAGGGAATATTGCCGATCATTCAGATTGCAGTTAGATGTTACCAATTTAATTTCAAACTGATGCATACACATTGAATCAGTCAATGGCATCCTATCCGATCTCTCCTATCTATATGAATGCATTATTGTAATGTACATGTAACTCGGGGCTATAAAAAAAAAACAGTATACTGCCCTTTTTCAACCGATGTCAGTGTATATTGCTCTTTTTGCTTTTAATACAATCGTAGGTATATAACAATGTCATTTAATTTTTGTCTCTTCTCTAACTTTTAGTTAATTAATGAAAATTAGGAATCATCTTGTATGTTTGGGGTTCATTTATTGTTAAATTGCATTTTAATATGAATTCTCATTGACAATGACATCTACATAATAGCATTTTAGTTTTATTCCAAACAAAAATGTTGGGAACATTGCAATGTCACTACATTTTGACAAAAACTTTGGCTTGGCTGGCGAGTGTATGACTAATTGTTTGGCTAGAACTAAAAAATGTATCACTAATTTCTTCGAAAACATTGACGGACTGTGTTTATCAATCTGTGCATCATAACAGGGCTAATCCTGTATGGCTACTGTCCAAACATTCAAAATTGAATTGACATTTCTTGCCATACATGATCCGAGCCATGTGTTTGTAATTGCCGGGAGAATGAAGAGCAGGAGGGGAGGGGCGGCAGGGGGGAGGGAGAAGGATGGGGGGGGGGGGGGTATGGGGTAAAATGACAGTACATGTCTATAACTTAGTGTCACGTGGTAGCCCCCTTACAAAATGCTATTGTAATGAAGTGATATGCTCAGTAATAGTTTTCTTTCATTCGTATAGACATCGTATATATATATATATATATAAATATATATATATATATATATATATATATATAATATATATATATATATATATAATAAGTAATTGATATCGCACTTCGATTTATTTAGAACAGTGGAGTAGTTCTTTATGGACCCCCCCCCCCCACCTCCAGCCAATATTTACATATTTGCTCAATAGGGCTATCGCAAGGACAGGAATAGTATTTAAGGAAAAAATCAGAATTAAATTGATGTGCAAAATATAAGGGAAATGGAATTTTCATACAAGCCTTTCGACGCAAGCATATTATATCAGGGGGTGTTTCATATAGACTAAGATCGACTTTAAGTTGGACTTAACTATGGCAGGCCATCAATGCCACTGGTTGCTCTCACCATTGGTCACTCAATTATGATCTTTAGATAATTTTTTACTTCAAGCATGAATTATCAAAAAAAGTAAATTCTGAAGATTCGTGACCATGATTTGTACGTCCCTTAAAAGACCAATGCCAGTAAATGGGGAGAGAAAAACAGTGGCATGAACAGCCTGCCATAGTTAAGTCCAACTTAAAGTCAATCTTAGTCTTTGTGAAAAACTCCCCTGGGCGTGCTCAGTATAATCAATTCAAACTCCCTGTTATAATCATCAACGCATATGACCTTTCATGAATTTTGACAATGAGTTCTCTTTCCATCTCGATTCTATTTGCCATCAGTCTATCTTCTCTCTCTACTCCCCCTTACTGATTTGATATTAAAGGTACTATGTCCCTTTTGCAGCCAACCTCAAATTCTGTAGAACTTTGCAGGAATTATGAATATGTCATATATGTCCTGTCTGTGAAATTTAAACGTTAGCAGTGTCCTCATATTCAAATTATGCAAGGAACCCGTTTACTTGCTAGACTTCACTGTCAGACACTATTGAGTGACTGACTGGCTTTTTTCTTCTTTGGTAATAACAAACATGAAAAGAGTTGTAAAGGGTACATGAGCATTTGTCTACATCAATAACCCACTTCTTGTGATGGCCAAGATTAAACAGACTGAATCTTTGCGCAGCATAAAACGTTTGACCATTCGGTACAATTGTCTGAAAATCAAGACTATTACTTTTGGCTCTATAGCTCTAAAGTCGATTTGCCAACTAATAGTCATTATTTTCCCACATGAAGACATTTTCAAGCCCCACCTTTTTTAGGGAAGTTCTAAATTAGTATTATCTTTCAAATGCAGTTGGAATTTAACTTTTTCATTTTTTT